TTCCCTACCTTGGCGTCAGGCTGTTGTTTCTTCCCACATTGCCTTGGAGACTGTGCTGTCATCCTTTCCCCGCCTAGGGCACCCCGGTGTAGACCCCTCCCTTGCCTTTCCCTCTCCCAGGCCTGGCGCACTGCTGTCCCTCCCGCTCCCTGCCCAGGTTGTATCCTGTGCCCTTGCATCGCTTGTGCTGCCCTTCCCGGCTGTTTGGAAATCCTTCTGTGTCCTGGGGGCTGTAACCCCGTGCACTGGGGTGTGGTATTAAGGCCACCTAACTGGCCAGGGCAGCCAAGTCAGCTTAAACAAGCCTCAGTTGGAGGATTTGGATTTTCCTGTTGGTTTTCTTACCCAACAGACTGCTTTACCGGTCTGAGGCTGGTACAGGTGACGCCCGCCTGCCAGGCTGGCAGTACCCTGGAATGTGCTCCAGCTGCTGAGTTGAGTCCAAGTAAAACCGTGCTGTTAGGCTGCTGAGTGCATCAGCCGTGTCCAGGTTAGAATTCAGTAACCGCAGAGGAACAGGGCTCCTGCCACATGGGCAGGGACATGGGCAGGGATGACATGTAGGGGGTGCACATGCACCCCCTGAGCATGGCAGTACATCCCCTACAAAAGACGCCGGTGTCTGCAGGCGGTCCACGATCACTGCTGGCCACCATCAACGGCAGCTGCAGGTGGTCCCCAACCCTTGGTCAGCGCTCACCACCCTCCTCCCCCTGCACCGGCGCTGCCAGCGGCGTCTGCGAGAGCTCTCCCGCTTCTGCCACCGCCGTCGTGCTCCTGCCGCTGCCGTACTCTCCCCCCCCCCCAGGTGCTGGGGGCATGCGTCGTTCATGGACATGGGGCATAACTGGGTGAAGGGATAACTTGTACTGTGAGGTTTGGTACTGGTCAGCAGGCCTGATGGCTGTGCCATTTCTCCAGGTGTGACCTAAGTAGGAAGTGTCAGTCTAAGTGAGTGACACTAAAATGACCAGTGGTGCTAATGGTGTCAGGGTGTTTGACTTAACCTATTGTTAATGGGGACCAAAGTGCTCGAGAGGAGGGTGGTGTGATTTTCATTGGATGTTTCTCACACGCAAAGCCTCCAGTGGAATAGCCTGGTGCTCTCCCAGATAACCCTGGGCAGGGTCTCCAGCAGCTGCTCCCAGGAGTGGCATTCTTTTGTGTTTTCTATCTTAATGACAAAGAAGTAAAAATTGAAAAGTAGAAAGAAGCTTCTGCCTGCAGAGTTTTT